GGGGGGGGGGGGAGGGGGTGAAGGGACAGATGGTGAGGCACAGAGTGCATGCATGTGTATGTGTGCGCATGCGTGTGTGTGTGTGTGTGTCTATGTGTGTGTGTGCGTGCGTGCGCGCGCGTGTGTGTGAGTGTGTGTATATGTATGTGTGTGTGTGTGTGTGTGTGTGTGTGTGTGTGTGTGTGTGTGTGTGTGTGTGCGCGCGTGCACGCAGCAAAAGCAATCAGCGCTGTAGTCAGGGTGTAAACGTGCGGGATAGGGGTTGACGCCGGCTGCCGCCACAGCAGCATGCAGGCGCGCCTGCAGCGGCGATCGCCCCCGGCCGGCCTGCGCGTGGGCGCGCGCAGGGGCCGCACCTTCGGCCCGAAGCCCTGTGCGCCCAGCGGCACCACGCATCGCGCCTCGCTGTCCCTGTCAATCAACAGCTCGGTTTTCTCGCCAAAAATCTTCACCACCACGGGCTCCAGCTGCCGCGCGGCTGCCGCGCAGCCCCGCCGGCCGGCGAGGAAGGGGAGGCACCAGGCGAGCGGGCCGGCGCGCGGCGCGGCGGCGCCGGCGACCGCCGCGGAGGCCGGCTTGGGGGCAACTTTTATGAGGATGTTTGAGATTCCCCCTGAAACTTTGGAGAACTGTGTGGATTAGATGTGGCGCGAAGTGGTGATGCGCAACGAATAAAGGAGCAAGGGATACACACCAGCAAGGTTGAGGGGTCTACAAGGGCCTGGCCAGCTCGGCGTCGCGCTCCAATCGCGAGGCACCATCCGGCCGCACAATTGATTGGGCATGTCGCATTCAACAAGCTGCTGCCACTGCCCACAGCCCGTGTCGCCAACCAGCGGGCAGCTGCAAAGCGGCGACGGCAGCAGCTGATGATCGACCCAGCGGATCGCGCTGCGCCTGCCAGGAGAGGCGCCCACCTCCACGTCCTCATATGCAACGTCCCATCCTAGTGCCTCCTTGCACAAGTCTAGGATCGCGAGCTGCGTCTGCTCCTGCTCGTGACCTTCCCCCGCTTTCCAGTAAATATGGGTTGAAAGTAACACGGGGGACGACATTATGCGGATTTCATGTGATCAGCATCAATGATCACGGGGCCACTGGATGCTGGTTTTGACATGTAGAGGGAGCAGCAGCGCAACACTGGCGCGTGATTGCCGCACAGCAGAGGCCTCACAGCAGTGCAGCAAGAGGCGACGAGGCGCACATGCAGCGATTCTCAGCTGCAAAACGCGTGCAATTGCTATCACACCACGCGGACAAATGTACAGGATTGGCTCCAAGAGACCAGCAAAACCGCCCATGACTACAAGTGTCGCTGCCCGCTGGTGACCACTCTCAGGCGAGCCTCCTCCGAGGTCCGCACACATTGCTGCGGGCCTGCGACGCAATAACAACAGTGCCGTCAACCTAGCCGCTCGTCGCCGCGCCACGCTCCACCACAACCGACGCCGGCAGCGCCTTTGACCCCTGCGCGGGGCGCGAGAGGGGCGCGGCAGTGGGGGGGGGGGTGTCGCCAGGCGCCCCTGAGGCGAGCTTGGTCTGCGCCCCTTGGCTTGCCCACAGTGGCGGGAACTGCAGTCACTCGCACCAGGCCGGCCACCTCTCTAGACACACCTGGGTGACGACGCCGCCGACGCCCATCCAGGCCGCGACCTCGTCAGCGAGCAACTGTATGCTCTCCGCACCCGGGCCGCCCTTCTGCGCGTGGCATCGGGATGCAACGCATATTTTACGGTTTTTGAATGGGTGCGTGAGTTGCTTCCAATAAGGCCAGAAACAGGCCGGGCAGGGCAGCACAGCAGGGGAGTGGATCAAGAGGCTGGAGGTGCGGGGCCGACGTGCACGCCATACGGATGCGATTTGCGGTGCAGCCAGCATGCCCGCATCACATCCAATTCACAGTCCAGAGGCAGCGCTGTTAGCCCGCAGCCGATTGAGAGATCAAAATGCAGCGTGACGCTTGGCCAGAAGCTGCGGGCGCCTGAGCTCGTGCACATGTGCCCGCACCATCAGGACCGCCCCGAGGCCAGCCGGCACACGCGGGCCCACCACAGCCGGACCCCCCCTTACAAACATGCTGCTGACAGCCTGAGCACGGTCTGCCAGCCGCCAAGCGCAGCCCCAGTCTGGTGTCGCCGCCCCAGGCCCGCCCACCTGGTTGTTTATTATGCCGGCCAGGGAGCTGACGCCCTTTTGAAGGTCCTCCAGTGGGCTGGACGCGGTGGGTATCCCCGCCTGCTGCGCCAGGCCCGCCAGGCGCCCTGCGGGTGTGCATGTGCGCGAGTGGGTACATGCACGTTCGCGGGTTCGGACAGGTGGGATAAGAAGTCAAGGCATGATCACGAGGCTGCAAATCCAGAGGGGACAGCGCTCGCCGGCGCTCACGGCACCAAAAATGGTCCGAAGGTGAGGACTGCAGCGGCAGCTTCACGCCATCGGCGCGCCCTGGCAGTCCAGCGCCGGCTGGGCGCACGCGACGCGGCGGGGGCGGCAGCCGGGGAAGCGGCGGGGGCGGTGGGGGCGGCAGCCGGGGGAGCAGCGGGGGCGGCGGCTGCGCACCGAGGATGTTGCTGCCCTGCTCCACGGCTTGGTTGGCGGCGCGCGTGAGCTCAGGCGGCAGGTCCCCAAGCACCTGCCGCGGGCGACGAGCGGCGAGGCGGAGGCTCGCGTGAGGTGTGCTCATCCCAAAGACCGCAAAGGGTTGCCCCAGTACCCACATCAATCAGGCGAGCGTCAAAGCCCGAGAATTGCCATGCACCTCGGCCGGCATGGCGCTGGGCCGGTCGCACGCGGGTGTCGAGGGAGCGGGGTCCCGGCAGCAGAGCTTAGTCGGCCCGCGCGCGGCGCGGGCGGCCGCAGCCCCACCTGCTGCAGCGGGCGGATGTGGTCGCCGGGCAGGGTGCGCACTGACAGGTCCAGCGAGGACGACACCGCTGACGAAGACTGAAGAGCGGCGAGGCGAGGCGAAGCGGCAGGGGGACCGGGGCAAGGACGGCACGTAGGCTGTATGGCATTGTTCACGGTCCTGGGTCCCGAATCGCACCGCGGTGTTGTGCACTGCCCTAGCGCCTGACCAAAGGTCCTGCTCACGAACTGCCTGCCTTGCGCCGTTCGCGCGAGAGGCCAGCGCACCCCCTAAATCTATATCCAACGAGGCCGCCCAGCACGGCAGCGCAGGCCCATGCGGAACCGCATGCTTGCATAAGCTGTGGGGCGCACGAGAGCACGCCACGCCTCCCCGGCACCTGCAGCAGCACGGCAAGGCCCAGTGTTTCATCAATGGAGTCGTCCTGGAACCGCAGCAGCAGGTTGCGCCGGACTGCATAGTAGTTGCGCACCATGGACTTAGTCTCGTCGGGCGCGGGCGTGAACTCCTGGCGGCCCTGCGTAACCGCGTGGCGGGTGGCGTCCAGGCGACACCAGGGGTGACGTAAGCGTGACGTAGGGTGCGGTGCGGGTGGTGCGCCGAGACGACGCGAGGGCGGTCAAGGTGTTTGAGCGTCAGTGCGCATTGTGTCGTTCGGGTCGGCCCCCCGTCGCAGCCTGACAGACGGGCGAGCTCTGAGCCGCACTCGAGACCAGCCCTACAACCGCCATCTGATTCGCACCGCCAGGACGGTGACCTGAAACGCCACCCCAAAAAAAATTTCCTTTCCGCATGAGCAGGCACCCAACATGACTCCCACCCAGCCTCATGCAACACTTCCTGCCGCAACAACTCCCCACTGACTGCCCACCCCTCCAGCCGACCCACCTGGCTGACATCCAGGAAGATCGGCGACAGCTGGTCTATCATGGGCATCACCTGCCGCACCAAGCTGGGGCTCAGCCCGCGCAGCGCATCGGTTGCTGACTCGACCGTCGCCCGCAGCGGCCCCGGGGTCGCCAGCTGGCTCAGCAGCGGCGCGAGCGCGCGCGCGCTGGGCGCGATGAAGGGGGACAGGAAGGGGATGGTGTCCGTCGCGGGGCGGTTGTTGAATGCCATAAGCGCGTTGCCGGCGCGCTGCAGGGGGGGGGGGAGGAGGGCAGGGA